AAAGAAGGATTTGGATATGAGAAATGTCATGGGGATAAATTTACAAAATTTGGCAAATAATTGGAAATGGAGAATGAGGTAAAGAATAGAGGATGACTGTGAGGTTTTATATCTGGGTGCCTGGAAGGATAATGGAACCTTTGATCAAAATGGCAAGTGAGGAAGAGGAGTGGATAATGAGTACCAGTGTGGACATGTTGAGTTTGAGAAGTTTATAGGGGGTCCAGTTAGATAGATTAAAGCTGTTTTTTATGGAATTGAGATTCATCTATACAGTTAAACTCATGGAAATTAATGAGTCTATCAAAAGAGAATGTAGATAGAAGAGAAGAAGGTTTAGGTAAGAATCTTAAGAAACATCAATGCCCAGAGTGTTGGGCATGAACGATAATCCAGAAGATTGAGAAGGAACAGTCAAATTGTGAAAAGAACCAGGAAAGATCAATGTCTCCACAACCCAAGGTGTATAGCACATCTACTCCCAGAAAGAGAGAGTGGTCAATAGTTTCAAAGACTTTAGAGAACTCATTGGATTTAACAATTGAGGTCATAGTTAACCTTGGAGAAATCAATCTCAGTCATATGGTGGGATCAGAAGCCAGATTGTAAACAGTTGAAAAGTGAGCATAAAGTGAGGAATTAGAAGTCACAAGTGTAAACAGCTTTTTTTTTCCAGTTATTTTGTAATGAAAACTTTCATGTGCTATCTGAGAGATAATAATAGTGCATTTCTATAATGCTTTAAGATTCCCAAAGCTATTTCCTCACAGGAATCATGTGATGTGACTAGTACCAATATTATTATAATGATTTTACAGATGAGGAAGATGAGGCTGAGAAAAGCTAAGTAATTTGCCCTCAGTGACATGACTAGCAAATGTCACGTGGAAATCAAACGTAGGACTCTGGACTCCAAATCCCATGTTTTTTCCACTATTTGAGGGTGTCAGTCAACAATCATTTATTTAATAAATTCTCACTTTATGCCAGACACTGTGGATACAAAGAAAGGTAAAACAGCCTCTGCCCTCAAGGTGCTTACATTCTAATGGCAACATGCAAATAACTATGTAGATATAAGATGCAAACAAAATAGATGAAAAGTGATATTAATAGTGATAATGGAAGGATAGAAGAATGTAGGGAATTAGAAATGGAAAAGGGATAACTATAATAGCAAGCATTTATAAAAACACTTTTAAGTTTGCACAGTACTTTACAAATAAGATCTTATCTGATCTTCACAAGAACCCTGGGAGGTACATGCTATCATTATCCTCATTTTACCATGAGGAAACTGAGACAAAGGTTAAATGACTTGCCCAGGGTCACACAACTAATAAGTATCTGAGGCTGAAAATGAACTAAGGTCTTAGTGACTCCATGCCTAACTTTCTATTCACTGTGCTGCCTCACTAGAGGATGAGGAAGAATATAAGGATATGCATGTAATAAAGGGAATTACATGTCAGAAAATCTTCCAAAAGTTTTCCTAGCATGTTGTACATGTCCCATTCATCCTATCAGCTGATGACTCAGAACTCTACTTCCCCCAAAGAGCTGGGCAAAACTATAGGCTCCACGGATTCCTCTCAAATAACTTTAGCTGCTGAATTCTGCCACAAAATGTCTCTCAGAAGTCAGCATAGCCAGTTTCATGATCTCCTTGCAATGGGATAAACCACATCAAAACCTTGTCCCATCACAGCCTTTTCCCCTAAATGATGCAAAATTTGGCAGGAATTATGTTGCACATCACAGGGCACTGTTAAATGTCATGACAGGATGTGAGGTGAAACATCAGAACACTCCGGGGATCAAAGAACGGTAGAGTTGAAAAGCGGCCCTTTAATAAGGGTGTAAGAGCAGGAAGTCCCCATTTGTTAAACAAAGGCTGAAATGTGCTCTAACGACTTATCCCCTAGTCCCTTTCCTCATAAAGACTGCCTAATTACATTGCATGTGTGTGAACCTCAAATTCAAGGCTCCTTCAATGTCTGAATCTCCCACTGTCAACCTTGAGGTCCTGATGGTCATAAAAAAGAGGAGAAATTTGCTGTTTGAAAGCTGATCATGTGGGCCAGGCCTTCTGGCCTTGGATTTAGCCTCATTAAAGTTCAGCAAAGAAACTGGTGCCTCCCAAGGAAGTCAGTATCTACCATATCCCAAGTGATCCCTGGTTGTTTTGTCTTACTTCATCTCTTGTGGCACCACCAAACCCTTCTGAAAGGCAATGTGGAGTTCTCATTTCCAAACAGACAACAAAGACATCCACCACAGTGGAGTCTCATGACATTTCTTAGCTTGAACTGTGGTGAGTCTAATCAATCCGTCCATTTACCCTAACCAACCAATATCACAATCACAACACCCAGATCCTGATTCAGCCCCACATTGAGTAGCCCTGAACACTGCAGTGACCAGATTCAATAACTTGGACGTATTCAGCCCATCATGACTTCCTCCTTCTCTGAAGCTGTAATCAACTGCTTTGTACAAACTGTAGCAACATTTTTCTTAGCTATTGCTTTGCACTAGCTGTGAAGACACAGAGAGACTGTGTTTGTATTCAGAAGACCTGGCTCTGCTACTTATCACCTGTGTGACTTTGGGCAACTCTCAACCTCTCTGGGTCTCATTTCCTTATCTTAAAATTGGGGGGCTAGGCTAGATGTCTCTAAGGTTCGTTCCTTCCAACTCTAAGTCCTATGATGGCACCATTTTTACTTTACTATTCCAGATTTGTGTGTCTTACCTCTTCAACTAGAATGGAAAGGAGGGAAAGGAATAAGCATTGATTAAGGACCTACTATGTGCCAGGCACCAGGCTAAGTACTTTACACATGTTATCTCATTTGATTATTTGTAATGTCCTAGAGGGCATAGCATAAGCATTACAATTCTCTTTAGCCCCTTGCAAGAGTTTGTGATATAGTGGCAAGCACACTAAATTGGGAAGCAGAGGACTTGCTTGGCTCTGCCTCTTACTCTTTGTGTGACCTTGAACAAGTCACTCTTTTGCCACTTTAAGCTTCAATTTCCTGATCTGTAAAAGGAGAGAGTTAACTAGATGGAATGAGGTCCCTTCCAGTTCTAACCATTGGATCCTAAGAGCCTGTGACTGCCATGCGTGATTTTTAAGATGCTTTTCCAAAGTAAATTTATGATCTAGTAATTCTGCAGGGTCTCACATATTGTTTTGTGTATACTGGGAGCTCAAAAACTATTGAATAAATCAAAGAATGAAAGAATAAGTACATGAATGAATAAATGAAAAAATAAAGCCACCACTGCCGCCCCTTTTTCAGTGAGTGCTACCCGTACTGCCCCAGTGCTAAGGAGATAGGAGCTTTTTCTCTTTGGGCCAGATTTACCTGTGTGCCTTTGTTCAAGGCATTACCTCTCTGTAGAATATTCTATTCCAAATATTTATGAACATGGCTAGTGTGAGGATTTATTTTGCCAAACTATGTAGATACATATTGAGGGTTTTGTTTTTGTTTTTGCTTTTAATTTGATTAATTGGGGGAAGGTGCAGTGGGAGGTATAAATTAATTTTATTTTAAAAGAGGAATGCATGGCAAAAGAGTTTCTGGCTTTTCTCCAACCCTTTTTTTCCCTTCTCCTCTATGTTTATAATCTTTGTACCAAAAGAAAGGTGATGAAAGAGAAAAAGGACGAGGAGGAGAAGGAAGAGAAGGAGAAGAAGGAGAAGGAGAAGAAGAAGAAGAAGAAGCAGAAGAAGAAGAAGAAGAAGAAGAAGAAGAAGAAGAAGAAGAAGAAGAAAGAGTTGGAGAAGGAGGAGGAAATGGAGACCCAGAGAGGTTGAGAGTTGTTCAAAGTCACATAGGTGATGAGTAGCAGAGCTATGTCCTCTAAATACAAACCCAATCTCTCTGTGCCTTCACACCCAGGGCAAAGCAATAACTGACAAAAATGTTGCCATGGTTTGTACAAAGCAGCTAATTACAACTTCAGAGAAGGAGGAGGTCATGATGGGCCGAGTATGTCCAAGCTGTTGAATCAGGTCACTGCAGTGTTCAAAGCTACTCAATGTGGGGCTGAGTCAGAATCTGGGTGTTGTGATTGTGATATTGGTTGGTCAGGGTACATGGATGGGCTGATTAGACTCACCACAGTTCAAGCTAAGAAGTGCCATGAGACCCCACTGTGGTGGATGTCTTTGTTGTCTGTTTGGAAATGAGAACTCCACATTGCCTTTCAGAAGGGTTTGGTGGTGCCACAAGGGATGAAGTAAGACAAAACAACCAGGGATGGGAGGCAACAGCTTCTTTGCCATACTTCAATGAGGCTAAACCCAAGGCCAGAAAGCCTGGACCACATGACCAACTTTCAAATGGCAAAGTTCTCCTCCTTTTTTATGACCATCAGGGCCTCAACCAAAATTAGCAAACTTAGGTCAGATAGTGCCAACTCAAAAGGTCCCTTTCTGTCACAGGTAGCACCCCATTGTTGCATAATATAATAGCTCATCTGCATTCCTTTGCATACATAGTGCTTTAGGGGAAAATATGGGACAAAACATCTTAATGAAGTTTAGAATTCACATACAGCCTGATCCCTGTAGCCTCATGGCAGTATCCCCCTGCAGAATTTAACCCCATTCCAAAGATTACCAATCTGGTTCTAGAGCCAGTCCTCCCTGATGGGAACTAGCTCGCTCTTCAGGGCTCTTGGGAATTGTACAGTACATCCACACATAAAGCAAAGAATATACAAGATACATATTGAAAAAGCATATACTTATCTATATGTATTTTCATTGAAATTAACCAACAAAAGTTACACATTGCAACCATTTCTAACCTGTGACCTTGGTGCAAAGGCTACATGATTGAGTGAAGAGACAAATGGCTTTGGAGTCAGGAACACCAACGTTCAGGTTTTGCCTCTGATGAACACTAGTTCTGTAACCACAGACAAGGCCACTCTCGGTGGCCCATGCAATTCTCTAGCACTGTAAACCCAAAGCAACTTACCAGTCTTCATCAATGGCTGTGTCACACTAGGAAAATCAATGTCTGTCAGGTTCAGTCTCCTCATCTGTAAAATGGGAATAATAATCATAATCATAATCGTAATAACACCTACCATGCAGGGTTATTGTGAGGATTTAATAGGATAATATTTGCTCTGCAAACCTTAAAGTACTTTATAAATTTTAATTAAGAACAAGACCACAATCCTGGTTTGAGACAAGAAGCAAAGATACTGGAGTGGTTTGCCGTTTCCTTTTCCTGTTCATTTTACAGATGAGGAAACTGAAGCAAACAGGGTTAAGTGACTTGCCTAGGGCAAAATAAACATGAGTTTATTTAATTGCAAGCCCAGCTCTCTACCCACCTCTACCACCTAGCTGCCCCCATGAATCCTAGCTTGTCTGATTCTGAGTACGCATTCCAAGCTGTTAATAGCTGTATGAGCTGTAAGGGGGGTGGGTATAACTAAGACACAGCTGGCTCTTCTAGCCTTGTGTTTATACTTACGCACTCCAAGTTTTAAAAACATTCCTCTTCTACCCTTCAGCATGCCATTGTTAACTTCATGTTTCGTCCTACCCATGTTCTTTCTTAGGAAAGAATCCAATGAACACATTCACACTGGTAAGACTTAATATGTCACCTCTCCAGGATGACTTTTTTTAAAAAATGTATTCCTTTTGTCTTGCTTGGAATCAAAAGACACAGTGGTTGGTGAGTGTTTTGGTTTTTTTTTTTCTTTGTGGTGGTGGTAGTGGTGATGGTCATGTTTTGTTTTTGATTCTTGGACAGATTTCATCTTCCATTCTGCCGTAAGAGAGTAAAAGTTTCCAGCTCCTATGAGGAGTGAGGTTCTGGGCCAGACCCTGTGTGTGGTGGTCATTAAAGCCAGTGAGAGACTAGTACATTAACATCTGAAGTTTCAGTTTGGGCCCAGAGATGAAAACCAGTCAGGATTTGGCATGTTTTCATTGGACACTTTACCATTGTTAGGCAATCACAAAGGCTCCCTGAGGTGAATTGAACAGTATGTAATACTCATGGCAGCAATAAAAGGATTACTAGGCCAGATCCTGCTCCAATTGCATTTCCTTTGAAGCCAGCGTTAGGCCATTGGCACTCAAACTAAAGACAGTTTAAATTGGGAGGCATGCTTTATCTTCACGTGTAAATTAATCACAGCATCAGGCTGCTTCACAAATATATAAACTCTTTACCAGGAATTGCCCATGCTGCCTCCTCAGGGGAATACAAAAAGGGTCTAACCTGGCTTCACTCTGTTTGGGTCTGGGAGAATGCTAGTCTTGAGAAGCACAGAGGGAAAAAGGTTCTCCTGATTCCATCCTCTGTATCCCCAATACACACTGCTCCTTAGTCCTCCAAACCCTTGTCAGCCGCTAGCAGAATCTGGCCTTCTTAAATGCTTCCAAGGAAATGTAACAGCCCTGGAGAGTGAACTCAGGACCATTCCCATAGAGTCTTGGAGTAAGAAAGGACCTTGAGGTCATTTGGCCCATCCTTCTCCCAGTCCTAATATCCTCTAGGGATTCTATAACTGTTTTGCTGCCTGTATTTATAGTTGAAGGAAATGCTAAATTTCACTCAGAAATTTTTTGCCATCCAAGTTCATAGACTCCCCCTAAAATCTATCCATGACCTCCTTGAGGGAAGGCGGGGGGGGGGGGGGGGGGGAATCTATAGATCTCAATTTAAGAATCCCTGGACCTAGAAGATCTTTAAGGGACTTCCCAACTCTAAATCATATGAAACATGCCCAACAAATGATCAGCCAATGTCAGCTTAAACACTTCAACACTTTGCAAGGCAGTCTATTTTATATCACACAAATATCTTTTTTTTCTTGCTTTTACATCTTTTTCAATTGTTTTATACTTTATTCTGAGCCAAAATCTTTTTTTGTAACTTCTGTCAGTGTGATAGGCTCAGTTCTGTCCCCTGGAGCCATATAATAAAAGATAATTTCTCTCTCAGGGGTTTGCATGGCCCTAAGCCTATATACCCTCTTTTAGAGACCTAGTTATTGAGGTCTCCCTTAGTAGAATGTGAGCCCTTTAAGGGCAGGAACAATTCTTCCCTTTTTTGTTTTGTACCATGCAGTGAGTTTAGTTAATGTTTGTTTACTCATTCACTGACCGCTTTCTGCCACAGATTCTTTTTTGTTCAGTCATGTCAGGCTCTCCATGACCCCATTTGGGGTTTCCTTGGCAAAGATGCTGGAGTGGTTTGCCATTTCCTTTTCCTGCTCATTTTACAGATGAGGAAACTGAGGCAAACAAGGTTAAGTGACTTGCCCAGGGTCACACACCTAGCAAGTATCTGAGGCCAGATTTGAACTCATGAAGATGAGTCTTCTTAATTTGCAAGCACAGTGCTCTACCTTATTGTACCACCTAGCTGCCCCCATGACTCCTAGCTTGTCTGATTCTGAGTATGCATTCCAAGCTGTTAAGATGGATGGGGGCAGCAATGTGATGTTTCTTGTAGTTGCTTTTAATTGTTCTTCTATTCGATGTGCAGGTAATGTGGGCAGAGTAGGTGGCTGAATAATGTTAGAGCCAGAAAACAGCTTATCTTATCGTCTTATCTAAGCCTTGCATTTTACAAAGGAGGAAATTTTGGGCCAACTCAGATATTTCCCCAAGGTCACATAGCCTACATGTTACTGTTGACAGAGGCAATGAGAGCCTGCTCCCAACCCAAAATCCTCCCTAGCAACTGGGGGCTACAAATAATTCCCCCCCTCAGTTTAAATTTTGGGAAAGATACTCCAGTATCTCAGGGGGAATACAACTTTGAGCTGTTATCAGTCACACACACTTCAGTAAATGAGGATGACATCTGTTATTGGGTAAAAAAATTATTATGTAAAATTATCAGTAAACACAAACACTTCCATACGCAAACAGAAACAAAAAAGAGGGCTGTATACAAAACTTCAATTGCACACAATTTTAAGCATATACATATTAAATTTTAACAAGGTAGTTACAAAATTGTACTTTGTGTCTCCTTCTGATACCCGGTCCTTTCTTGAGAAAGATCTTGAGGGCAAAGATGCTTCGTTGCCTAGAAAGGAAGAAAAACAATCAATACAATAAAGAATGGCTAATTAGGAAGCCAGGCACAGGTGGGTATTTTTCACTCACGTAACCAAGTAACTAATACTCTCCCAGAACTGACATCCCTTCCAGGAAGGAAGAAGAGTGTCCAAAAAGACTTTTTTTTTTGCCTATCACAAATAATTGTTTACATATTTCTTTCAATAAAACTTAAAAAGTCAAATAAGTCCTCTGAGCTAGGGTCCCACCAGGAATCCTTTCCAGTTCTTACTTAGTCTTTCTCTGCCACCCACAGGGAAGGGCTGGTTGCACTCGGGAGGGGAGCAGAGAGTACAGCTTCTTGCCAAACAGGGAGACTCAGGCTGCCCTCCAGACCCCCGGATTCCTCATAGGAGATGTGTCCGGGCTGACCCCACGGGGCTGTCAGGCTGACACCAACAGGCTTCACAAACGCTTTAGAAAATGAAAAGCTTTATTAAACTTCCAAGTCAAGAGCAGATGTGTCCAGACATAAATATTCAAAGGGTCCCATCTGTTAGGTAAATACTCTTTCTGTGTTAGAAAGGGTGGATTGTACATTAGTAAGACAGTATATCCTCCAAAAGCCAGGGTTGGGGAAGCAGTGCAGGCAGATGCTTCTAGCTTTTAAAATAAAAGAGGCCCAAACAATGAAAAAACAAAATCAGGGAACAATGTAAGTGCCAATTATCTGCCTCTCTGAGGCTTTATGAGCTCTTGTGGTCATGCAGTACTAACCAGGCAGAGGATGTGACTTGGACATATCAGAGCCGGACGGGGGGGGGGGGGGGTCTCAACCCCCTAACCAAGGCTCAAAACAAAAACATACCAACAGGTGGAGTGATCCCACCGTCTCAAAATTCAAATGACTTAACCTTACACACAGTTCATTCACCAAGCACCATCTCTTTCCTGACAGGTCCCAATGTCGGTATCCCTCCACTCCCCAGAATGAACTCACCCCTCCATCCAGGCAGGACGAGTCACTGTCTCCCAAAGTTTACTGTTGTTCAGTTGTTTCAGTCGTGTCTGACTCTCCATGACCCCATTTGGGGTTTTCTTGGCAAAGATACTGGAGTGGTTTGCCATTTCCTTCTCCAGCTCATTTTACAGATGAGGAAACTGGGACAAACAGGGTTAGGTGACTTGCCCAGGGTCACACAGCTAAGCTAGGAAGTATCTGAGGCCAGATTCGAATTAGGTCTGGCACTCTATCCAATGTGCTCTTTAGCTGCCCCTGATCCCTCATCATCTCTTTGCTCATGCTTTCTCCACACATGCACACTTAGAATATTCTCTCTCTCCTCCCTAAATGTCTATATTTTATTCAGCTTTCAAGGCCCTTCTTTAGTTCTATTTACCTCTATGAAATTTCCCTTGATTATCTCAGCTCCCATGGGGCTATCTCTCTCCTATGAGTTTCTAAAACACTTAGTGTCAGAAGATTCCTAACACTATCACTGATTAACTCTTCCCAGGCTTAAGTTTCTTCATCTATAAAATGGGACAATTGAACTACATGTCTCCCACAAGCCCTTCCAACTATAAGGCAACGATCTATGCGATCATTACTTTAACACTGACATGGCACCTTGAACTGTGAGTAAACCTGTAATGTGGCTAGGCCTTATCTTCTCACCTAGGTAACCTACTTTGACGCTTAAGGGAAGTCCCACACCTGGAGTTAGGGACACCTGAATTCAAATCCCAGTTTATTATGTGTCACTGTGTGACCTACAAGCAAGTCACTTTAATTGCTGCCTGCCTCAGTTTCCACAATGGGAATAATAATGGCACCTACTTCAAAGAGTTATTGAGAGGGTCAAATGAGATAATATTTCAATTGCAAGCTTTAAAGTACTTTATAAATGTTAGCTATTATGATTACCTCTCCCGCTGTGCCCAATGTAATGCCTTGTTTAAGTAGGTACTCAGTAAATCTTTATTGTTTGATTGATCAAAGTAGTTTAGACACAGAATTTGTGGAAAAGGTGAATCTTCTTAGCACTCTGGGGAAGTGAGGGAAGGGAGACATATTTAGAAAGGAAGGTGATCTAAAAACAAGTGACGGAGATAAATTTGTAAAGAAATAAAGATAAGTTAGCAACAAGGTCACAGTGGGAAGGGAGAGAAGAAGTTTAGGGCAGAAGTAGAAGGAAAACAGCTCTTCAGTTTGGAGTCTGGAAGCACTAGCTAGCAAGTCATACACAGCCAGGCCACTGATCGGCCTGGCTAGAACAAAGAATCTCAGCCAGGAAGCAGAAGATGAGGGTAGTTAAATGAGATTGGATTGGCCTTGAAACACATGCTGAGGAGTTTAGATTAAAGGTGGGAGACAACTGAGAAGCCCTGCCGCTTTCTCAGCAGACCACTGTGACATCATCTGAAAAGCACTTTAAGAAAATGAGTCTAGCTGCTGGGTAGAGGACATAGAGAGAGAGGAAAAGGGCTAGAGGTGGAGGCGGCTCTGCCAGGAGGTAGATGCTCACCATCAGGACGGAAGGCAATCAGGAGCCTGGACTCTGTCGGTGACTGCAGAAATGGGGAGGGTCAGGCTTAGACCCCAACATGCTGAGGGAGAATTGGCAGAACTGGAAGATGGATGGGGAAGGGAGCGAGGGGATGAACAGAGACAAAGAACACAAGCTTGAGGGCTTGGGAGGCTGATGGGGGTCACTGACCAGCGGATGGGGAGAGAGAGTAGAGTAGAAAGACTGCCAAAGACCTCGGGTTTTGACTGGGTTGTTTTAGTTAGAGAAAGACAGACAGACAGACAAAAAACCACCAACAGACTTAGGCTGAAGAGAGTGTTTGGGAATCATGTATGCATGGGGTTCAAAGCTGAAGGAATACTGAAAAAGGGCACACCTTCCCCTCAATGCCTGGAAAGGGCCACTACAGTCATATCCTTGGGCAAGCCATTCCACCTCAGTTTCCCTATCTGTGAAATGAAGAATTGGCCCAAATAAGCTTTAGGGTGCCATTTAACTCAACTGATCCTGTGGCCCTATGACTTTCCTGAGCTCCAAGAGGGGGCCCGAGGTCAGACCTCACTACTTGGCTTTATCCTTTATCCAACAGTGAACTAACGGATCTCTTCTAGAAAGTAGCAGCTGAAGAAGCAATTTTCACCCCTTACCGGAAAAAAAAAAAAGACAATCAGCCAATTATTCAACAAATATTGACTGAGTACCCAGGATGTGCTCAGCAGCACTGTCAGATAGGACAGAAGAAGTGAAATTATAGTGCTTAACGAAGCTCCCAATTTTCCCTGGAGAGGTGGAAGACCATGGGTGCTGAACTCTATATATTCTAGCAGACACAGTAGCTTTACTGTTTTGGCTTTTGGCTTTACTGCTTTTATTTATTATAAGAAAACTCATTCTACAAGTGCTGATTAAAGGCTGGGAACAGAATCCAGAAATGACTGTGATATAACAAAAGTATCAGGAAAACTTTAATTAAAAAAACCACAGTCCCAGCCTTCAAAGAGCAAAACATACGAATATGAAACTTCACATAATTCAGCAAGAGTCAAATCCTCCCTTCAAATGGCCACACAAATTAATTCTGTCAGGGAAGGACAAGGCTTTTTTAACTTTAGAAATGATTGTTATTAATAGCTAACATTTACATAGTACTTACTATGTGTCAGCCACTGTGCTAAGTGCTTTACAATTATCTCACTTGATTCTCACAACAACTCTGGTGCCACTATTATCCCCATTTTATAGGTGAAGAAACTGAGGCAAGTGGAGGGTAGGGTACCCTTGCCCAGGTCAGCCAGCTAGTAATCATTCAACACAGTATTCAAACTCAGATCTTCCTGATTCAGGGAGCTAGGGGGTGCTGTAGTGGATGGAGTGCCAGGCCTGGAGTCAGGAAGACTCATCTTCCTCAGCTCAAATCTGGCCTCAGACACTTACTAGCTGTGTGAACCTGGGCAAGTCACTTAACCCTGTTTGCTTCCGTTTCCTCAGCTGTAAAATGATCTGGAGAAGGAAATGCCAAGAAAACCCCAAATGGGGTCATGAAGAGTCAGACACGACTGAAACGAATGAACAACGACAATTTTCTGATCTGTTATCATAGCAAGCACCTAATTGGGAGGAAGGATAATTATAGAGTTAATGTCAGGAAATGGAAGACCTTTATTTAAGGGGAGAAAAATCAGGGACTTTCTTCTCTGCCTTTTTGAAAATCAGACCCAATGGCAAATGTTATGTAGGCCTGTTTAACTACCTCTCTCCATTCTAAAAGACAAAGGGAACTGTGGTTCATCCAAGCTCATAGAACAGTGACCTGAAGAGGAAAGAAAGAACAGTTTTACAAGCCTCAGATTATTAAGATTTGACCAATCGTGGGGGGTGGGGGGAATCCACATGACCTTTTTCACCCACCCTCCCTCCATGACAGCCATCCCTAAGGCTTTGTAGCCTTATGGCATCACATCGTATATAACTTAACTTTTCCTTTCTTTCTTCACAAACTTGAGTTTCCCCAGCCCTCACACACTCTACTCCTTGAATCAGAATCCTAGGAGGAAACTAATTAGTCCCACCCCACTGTGCTCTTTTTCCACAAAAGGTAAAGACACCCACAGAAATGAACCATTTTATAGGAAAAGCAAGCAGACTGAGAGGCACTTTTTTCTGCTCTTTTAAAAGCTATTTGGCAGAAGGAGTGGGGATGGAAGAAGATTGAGTTCTAGCAAGCTGCAAACGATCAAATGGTGAGGTGTGGGATTTCGATTCTGGTTTGGGAATAAAAAGCAATGAGGATTCCAGTTTCCAGAATGGTCGTATCCATACATTTATAAGTTTCCTAAAGAATAATAAACCCAGCACTGATGGGTCACTAGAGCACTTGGGAAATGCAATGCCCATCCATGGAAGACTCTATCAAGATGGGACAAGAAGTGGAGCCAAGAACAGGCTCGGAAGCAGTTGGCCCTAAGTAATCTGGTACAAGACATTCGCTACTCTGTAAAATGGAAAATGGAACATTTCAAAAGAAAAGAAAAAGTGGGAGAGAAAAGATGTTCCTTTGCATCAATCTGAACCACCCACCACGATACTCACAGCAGAAAGATGTTTCTGCACAATAGCAAGAGAGAAATGAAATGAGGCCACTTCTTGTCCGGCAGATGTTGGTCAGGCAAGGCCAGCTCTCAGCACTTGGCCAGAGACAGGCACAGGACAGAGTACGGAAACGCATGCTGTGGTCAGCCCATTCCATTGCCTCAGTTAGGCTCAGGGTTCTGGAGGGAAGCATTTCTTCCCTGTGGCAGATCTCACTGGTTTGAACATTTTGCAAATATTTAATTGAGGGGAGTCTGTTTTTATCACAATTAAGAACTCATTACCCATATGGACACTGGTGGTTGTTCTTGCCCTAAAACCTTTAGTAATTAGTACCTTTTCTGTCCCTGGCCT